TGACTCTAACCTGCACCTGGTACTGTGACGCGCGGGTCAGATCGTTCAGAACCACCGAGTTGCTTTTACTGCTGATGTACTGCCATCCGTCATCCTGATCCTACAGCACACAGGTCAGGGGTCAGGCACAGGTGGAACGAACACACACACACACACACACACACTCGTCTGACTGTTTCACCTTCAGACTGTAGCGCAGCTGATACTCCAGAATGTTGTGCTGCGTCTGCGGAGGAACAGTCCAGCTGATGGAGACGCTGCTCTCAGACGCTATAGTCCTCCTGATGCCGGACACTGGAACGGCCACTGCACACACACACACACACACACGCTTCAGAAGTGTGTGTGTGTGTGTGTGAGAGAGAGAGGGGGTGGGGGGGAGAGTGTGTGTGTGAGTGAGAGAGTGTGTGTGTGTGTGTGAGAGAGTGAGTGTGTGTGTGAGTGTGTGTGAGAGAGTGTGTATAGTTCTGCTTCAGAACTATAATCACAACTTGTAGTATGGACTTCTCTGTTTTTACAGAATTAATGATTATTAAAGGGGTCATCAAATTTTGCCTTGATCTTTTGGCATATATGTGGTCTTTGTACCATTAAAACATCCTGCAAGTTTCATATCTTAAAACATCCTCCTCGTTATAAACAAAGCATTTATTTAATCAAGCTCCAAAAACGGCTCGTTTGGATCTGAGGCGCAAGATGATGTCACAGGGGCACAAACATTTGCATAAACACGCCTCCAGAGCAAGAGATCGACGAATAGTCTCCCTTTCAGCATAGGCTCCGCCCACTGGTGTTCACTTGCTAACGGCTAACACTTGATCACGCTGAATGAGAGTGTCGCGTCAAAAGCAAACAGAAATGACAATCACTGTGCTATCTCGTCTACACTGGATACAGTATACAGTATACATAGTCTGTCTTCAGGACAAATGCAGTGAAAGAACATTCGCTTCGACACGTTTGGTTTAAACAGCTCGTTCACGTCTTTGTACAGATATCAGAAGGAGCCCAGCGTAAGGAACAAGAGGATAGTTTATTTTTAATGGCGTCCCGGATCGTGTCGGAGGATTTTGTTTTGTAATCGAGGCACAGTGTCAGGGAGAATCACAAAGAAACATCTGTTGAAAGATGAAGCGGCACTAGATCTGACTGCAGCTGCTTCACAAACTGTAAGTATATGATTTCATAATGCTTTGTCTGGAAATGACCGTTTTATTTTGATCATGTTGTCAAAACACTCGCATGCAATAGCAAGGGGGCGTTGATACGGTTTCCTATGCAATGACATTAGCCAATCAGAACAGTGGCTGATTACTGAGAAGCCTTAAGGACCCGCCCCTTAAACAGCTCGTTTTAGACAGAGGGTCAGAATGAGGGTTGAAAATTATAATTTTTCCATATATTTGTGACCCTGCAGCACAAAAGCAGTCATAACATTCCTACCGTAAATATATCAAAACTTAATGTTTGATTAGTAATATGCATTGCTAAGAACTTAATTTGGACAACTTTAAAGATGATTTTCTCAATATTTAGATTTTTATCCAGATTCCAGATTTTCAAATAGTTGTATCTCAGCCAAATATTGTCCTATGTATACATCTCAATTTAGAAAAATTGACCCTTATGACTGGTTTTGTGCTCCAGGGTCACATTTATTTATTTTTTGTGCAAAAAACATTGCAAGTAAACATCAAGGAACATATTAAAACAATAAAAAAATCCATGTCATGACCCCTCTAAAGTGTTATGAGCATGCTGACCGTCTCTGCTGGTGGTGATGTTGACGGAGCTGGAGGCGGGGCTTGTGTGACTGACAGCGCTCACTCCGTTCTGGGCGATGACGGTGAAGGTGTAGGTGGTGTGTGGGAGGAGTCCGCGGATGATGACCCGCCTCCCGGTCACACCCACCTGCCCCGGCCTGTAGGAGACACTGTCTGCGCAGGGGACGCAGCCGGAGCCTCTGCAGCGCACACACTCCACGCTGTAGGACAGATCCGAGCGCCCGCCGTGGTCCAGCGGCTCCGACCACTCCAGCGTCACCACCGTATCATTGATCTGATAGATGATGCTGCGCGGAGCCGACGGCGGTCCTGCAGGAACAGGCAAGAGGTCAGACGTTGTGCGTGTGCGCGCGTATGTGTGTGTGTGTGTGTGTGTGTGTGTGTGTGAGTGTGTGTGTGAGTGTGTGTGTGTGTGTGTGTGTGTGTGTGTGAGTGTGTCTCACTGGTGCAGGCTGAATCAGGAAGGTCGTTGGCGGCGCGGTGGAATCCAGGGCGGCACAAACACACACTGGATCCAGGAGAGTGTGTGTTACTGTTGTCTGGACACACACGGCACAAACTCCCACCGATGGACGCTTTATATTGACCCGATCCGCACGCTATGAGAGAACACACACAAAACACACAAGCTCATTAACGAGTCTAACTACCCGTCTGAAACAGCGGTCTGCTACTACGATGTTCACAGTTAATCATCATTAAAATTAACAATCAGTCTCGTTATAGATACCCAAAATTAAATCCATAATTCTTGGATGAATTAGATGTGCTGCTCTCAAACTTTTCTGAGGATGGTACTCCACTAGTTATGCTTGGAGACTTCAACATCCACCGAGATAAACCTCAGGCTGCAGACTTCCACACTCTGCTTGCCTCTTTTGACCTCAAGTGAGTATTAACTACGGCTACTCACAAATCAGGTATTGACACACGACACGTCACCGATAGCCTCGTGGGCAGCGCATCGACATGTAGCGCCATTGCGCTTCGGGCGTCACGTGTTTGAGTCCTACAAAACACACTCACTCACTCACTCACACACACTTATCACACATTCACACACACTCACACACATTTATCACACACACACACAGGTTTGTTTTTGTGAAAAGTGGGGACTCTCCATAGGCGTAATGGTTTTTATACTGTACAGACCGTATATTCTATTGCCCTACACCAACCCTACCCCTAAACCTACCCCTCACAGGAGACTTTGTGCTATTTCAGATTTTCAATACACTCCATTCTGTGTGATTTATAAGCGTTTTGAAAAGTGGGGACATGGGGTAATGTCCTGAAAAGTCACCTTCTCCTTGTAATACCTGTCATACCTTGCGCGTATGTGTGTGTGTGTGTGTGTGTGTGTGTGTGTGAGTGTGTGTGTGAGTGTGTGTGTGTGTGTGTGTGTGTGTGTGTGAGTGTGTCTCACTGGTGCAGGCTGAATCAGGAAGGTCGTTGGCGGCGCGGTGGAATCCAGGGCGGCACAAACACACACTGGATCCAGGAGAGTGTGTGTTACTGTTGTCTGGACACACACGGCACAAACTCCCACCGATGGACGCTTTATATTGACCCGATCCGCACGCTATGAGAGAACACACACAAAACACACAAGCTCATTAACGAGTCTAACTACCCGTCTGAAACAGCGGTCTGCTACTACGATGTTCACAGTTAATCATCATTAAAATTAACAATCAGTCTCGTTATAGATACCCAAAATTAAATCCATAATTCTTGGATGAATTAGATGTGCTGCTCTCAAACTTTTCTGAGGATGGTACTCCACTAGTTATGCTTGGAGACTTCAACATCCACCGAGATAAACCTCAGGCTGCAGACTTCCACACTCTGCTTGCCTCTTTTGACCTCAAGTGAGTATTAACTACGGCTACTCACAAATCAGGTATTGACACACGACACGTCACCGATAGCCTCGTGGGCAGCGCATCGACATGTAGCGCCATTGCGCTTCGGGCGTCACGTGTTTGAGTCCTACAAAACACACTCACTCACTCACTCACACACACTTATCACACATTCACACACACTCACACACATTTATCACACACACACACAGGTTTGTTTTTGTGAAAAGTGGGGACTCTCCATAGGCGTAATGGTTTTTATACTGTACAGACCGTATATTCTATTGCCCTACACCAACCCTACCCCTAAACCTACCCCTCACAGGAGACTTTGTGCTATTTCAGATTTTCAATACACTCCATTCTGTGTGATTTATAAGCGTTTTGAAAAGTGGGGACATGGGGTAATGTCCTGAAAAGTCACCTTCTCCTTGTAATACCTGTTATCATTTTGTCATTATACACATTTATGTCCTCATTTGTCACAAAAACGCGCACACACACTTATCTCATTCACACACACACACACACACACACACACACACACACACACACACACACACTCTCTCTCTCACACACACACACACACACTCACTCACTCACATGAGTGTGTGTGTGTGTGTGTGAGTGAGTGTGTTTTGTAGGACTCAAAAACACACTGTGTGTGTGATAAGTGTGTGTGTGTGTGTGAGAGAGTGTGTGTGTGTGAGTGTGTGATAAGTGTGTGTGTGTGTATGTGTGTGTGTGTGTGAGTGTGAGTGTGAGATAAGTGTGTGTGTGTGTGTGTGTGCATACGTTTAGTTAAAGTTTGAGGTCTGCAGAAGTGAGTTAAATGTGACACAAGATACAAAATAAATGAATTATTAATTTGTGAATCATAAACGAGCAGTGCTGTAAGGTTTGTTCACGTTTTGGCGCTCACAGCTGTGTTTGTGTTTAGACTGTTCCTCTAATTGTTACACATTCCTCAACAGAAAGTCCAGTAATTAACCAAACCTAAGTGACTTCACCCATCAGTAGAGCCGTAATAAAGAAGCGATTAATGACAGCGATGAGATATCGATCAGCGAGATTCTCGTCATCTGCAGTCGATCTAATTACACTCACAGAAGAACACGTTCCCCTGGAGAGAAGAAGAAAGAAGCAGAGAGAGACGGATCGCATTACCCATAATCCTCAGCCACACCCACAGACCAATTCCTGCTCATTAAAAGAGCATTTCATCAAGCTCTATTAACCATCACACACACAGCGAGAGAGAGAGAGAGAGTGTGTGTGTGTGAGTGTGTGTGTGAGTCTCTGTGAGTGCGTCTGTCTGTGTATGTCTCTGTGAGTGTGGGTGTCTCTCTGTGAGTGTGTGCGTGGCTCTGTGAGTGAGTGTGTGTGTGAGTCTCTGTGAGTGCGTCTGTCTGTGTATGTCTCTGTGAGTGTGGGTGTCTCTCTGTGAGTGTGTGCGTGGCTCTGTGAGTGAGTGTGTGTGTGAGTCTCTGTGAGTGCGTCTGTCTGTGTATGTCTCTGTGAGTGTGGGTGTCTCTCTGTGAGTGTGTGCGTGGCTCTGTGAGTGAGTGTGTGTGTGAGTCTCTGTGAGTGCGTCTGTCTGTGTATGTCTCTGTGAGTGTGGGTGTCTCTCTGTGAGTGTGTGCGTGGCTCTGTGAGTGAGTGTGTGTGTGAGTCTCTGTGAGTGCGTCTGTCTGTGTATGTCTCTGTGAGTGTGGGTGTCTCTCTGTGAGTGTGTGCGTGGCTCTGTGAGTGAGTGTGTGTGTGAGTCTCTGTGAGTGCGTCTGTCTGTGTATGTCTCTGTGAGTGTGGGTGTCTCTCTGTGAGTGTGTGCGTGGCTCTGTGAGTGAGTGTGTGTGTGAGTCTCTGTGAGTGCGTCTGTCTGTGTATGTCTCTGTGAGTGTGGGTGTCTCTCTGTGAGTGTGTGCGTGGCTCTGTGAGTGAGTGTGTGTGTGAGTCTCTGTGAGTGCGTCTGTCTGTGTATGTCTCTGTGAGTGTGGGTGTCTCTCTGTGAGTGTGTGCGTGGCTCTGTGAGTGAGTGTGTGTGTGAGTCTCTGTGAGTGCGTCTGTCTGTGTATGTCTCTGTGAGTGTGGGTGTCTCTCTGTGAGTGTGTGCGTGGCTCTGTGAGTGAGTGTGTGTGTGAGTCTCTGTGAGTGCGTCTGTCTGTGTATGTCTCTGTGAGTGTGGGTGTCTCTCTGTGAGTGTGTGCGTGGCTCTGTGAGTGAGTGTGTGTGTGAGTCTCTGTGAGTGCGTCTGTCTGTGTATGTCTCTGTGAGTGTGGGTGTCTCTCTGTGAGTGTGTGCGTGGCTCTGTGAGTGAGTGTGTGTGTGAGTCTCTGTGAGTGCGTCTGTCTGTGTATGTCTCTGTGAGTGTGGGTGTCTCTCTGTGAGTGTGTGCGTGGCTCTGTGAGTGAGTGTGTGTGTGAGTCTCTGTGAGTGCGTCTGTCTGTGTATGTCTCTGTGAGTGTGGGTGTCTCTCTGTGAGTGTGTGCGTGGCTCTGTGAGTGAGTGTGTGTGTGAGTCTCTGTGAGTGCGTCTGTCTGTGTATGTCTCTGTGAGTGTGGGTGTCTCTCTGTGAGTGTGTGCGTGGCTCTGTGAGTGAGTGTGTGTGTGAGTCTCTGTGAGTGCGTCTGTCTGTGTATGTCTCTGTGAGTGTGGGTGTCTCTCTGTGAGTGTGTGCGTGGCTCTGTGAGTGAGTGTGTGTGTGAGTCTCTGTGAGTGCGTCTGTCTGTGTATGTCTCTGTGAGTGTGGGTGTCTCTCTGTGAGTGTGTGCGTGGCTCTGTGAGTGAGTGTGTGTGTGAGTCTCTGTGAGTGCGTCTGTCTGTGTATGTCTCTGTGAGTGTGGGTGTCTCTCTGTGAGTGTGTGCGTGGCTCTGTGAGTGAGTGTGTGTGTGAGTCTCTGTGAGTGCGTCTGTCTGTGTATGTCTCTGTGAGTGTGGGTGTCTCTCTGTGAGTGTGTGCGTGGCTCTGTGAGTGAGTGTGTGTGTGAGTCTCTGTGAGTGCGTCTGTCTGTGTATGTCTCTGTGAGTGTGGGTGTCTCTCTGTGAGTGTGTGCGTGGCTCTGTGAGTGAGTGTGTGTGTGAGTCTCTGTGAGTGCGTCTGTCTGTGTATGTCTCTGTGAGTGTGGGTGTCTCTCTGTGAGTGTGTGCGTGGCTCTGTGAGTGAGTGTGTGTGTGAGTCTCTGTGAGTGCGTCTGTCTGTGTATGTCTCTGTGAGTGTGGGTGTCTCTCTGTGAGTGTGTGCGTGGCTCTGTGAGTGAGTGTGTGTGTGAGTCTCTGTGAGTGCGTCTGTCTGTGTATGTCTCTGTGAGTGTGGGTGTCTCTCTGTGAGTGTGTGCGTGGCTCTGTGAGTGAGTGTGTGTGTGAGTCTCTGTGAGTGCGTCTGTCTGTGTATGTCTCTGTGAGTGTGGGTGTCTCTCTGTGAGTGTGTGCGTGGCTCTGTGAGTGAGTGTGTGTGTGAGTCTCTGTGAGTGCGTCTGTCTGTGTATGTCTCTGTGAGTGTGGGTGTCTCTCTGTGAGTGTGTGCGTGGCTCTGTGAGTGAGTGTGTGTGTGAGTCTCTGTGAGTGCGTCTGTCTGTGTATGTCTCTGTGAGTGTGGGTGTCTCTCTGTGAGTGTGCGAGTCTCTGAGTGTGTGTGTGTGTGTGTCTCTGTGAGTGCATGTGTGTGTGTGTGTCTCCGTGAGTGCGTGTGTGAGTATCTGTGAGTGCGTCTGTCTGTGTATGTCTCTGTGAGTGTGTGTGTCTCTCTGTGAGTGTGCGAGTCTCTGAGTGTGTGTGTGTGTGTGTCTCTGTGAGTGCGTGTGTGAGTCTCTGTGAGTGCGTCTGTGTGTCTCTGTGAGTGTGTCTGTGTGTGTGTGTCTCTGTGAGTGTATCTGTGTCTCTGTGAGTGTGTCTGTGTGTCTCTCTGTGTGTGTGTCTGTGTGATTGTGTGTGAGTGTGCGTGAGTGTGTGAGTCTCTGAGTGTGTGTGTGTCTCTGTGAGTGCGTGTGTGAGTCTCTGTGAGTGCGTCTGTGTGTCTCTGTGAGTGTGTCTGTGTGTGTGTGTCTCTGTGAGTGTATCTGTGTCTCTGTGAGTGTGTCTGTGTGTCTCTCTGTGTGTGTGTCTGTGTGATTGTGTGTGAGTGTGCGTGAGTGTGTGAGTCTCTGAGTGTGTGTGTGTCTCTGTGAGTGCATGTGTGTGTGTGTCTCTGTGAGTGCGTGTGTGAGTATCTGTGAGTGCGTCTCTGTGAGTGTGTGTGTCTCTCTGTGTGTGTGTCTCTGTGAGTGTGCGTGAGTGTGTGAGTCTCTGAGTGTGTGTGTGTGTGTGTCTCTGTGAGTGCGTCTGTGTGTCTCTGTGAGTGTGTGTGTGTCTCTGTGAGTGCGTGTGTGAGTATCTGTGAGTGCGTCTCTGTGAGTGTGTGTGTCTCTCTGTGTGTGTGTCTCTGTGAGTGCGTGTGTGAGTATCTGTGAGTGCGTCTCTGTGAGTGTGTGTGTCTCTCTGTGTGTGTGTCTCTGTGAGTGCGTGTGTGAGTATCTGTGAGTGCGTCTCTGTGAGTGTGTGTGTCTCTCTGTGTGTGTGTCTCTGTGAGTGCGTGTGTGAGTATCTGTGAGTGCGTCTCTGTGAGTGTGTGTGCGTGTCTCTGTGAGCGTGCGTGTGTGTGTGTGTGTCTGTGACTCTGTGAGTGTGTAATGTGTGTGTGTGTGTCTCTGTGAGTGTGTCTGTG